ATTTGCATATCTTGTCTGTGACGATCTATATGACGCTGACTGTACATGGCGGGATTCGACCCCAGGACCTGCAGATTGCAAGTCAAGTGCTTGACCACTGAGCCACCGACGCCCCTTCATTTGACTATATTTTAAAAATTGTTATCAAGTATTGTAAGATATTATATTAAAAACCATATCTGATACCTATATCTATACCTTCTATCAATAGCTTATATATATTTTTGTCTAACTACCCAAAACTAGGGTGGGTAGTTAAAAAAATATTTAAAATCATAGTGATTTAAAAATAAATGCTGGTTATGTTTATGGTCCTTATTGTATCAGGGCCAGGTGTTACGGTAGAGGTCCATTCACAAACGTGAGGTCACGGTCTCGGTCAATAGAGACGAAATCTTGCGCCAGTTTCCAACCGAGAGAATCGGGCTACGTATCAAAGTAAGTTTTTATAACACTATCATTTCAAACAACGTATCTAGAATATTTTTTGTAACACGTAAAAGAATCTTTTTCTATTAAATATGAGGTATTTGTGAAAAAAAATTGCAACTACCTTCAAGTTTATACTATATTATTGTTTATATTATAAAAATAGGCAAATAGCTCGTAAACTGAACAGACAAGGCTGAACTTTGTTGTCTTCTAGTTGGATTTATAGACACCAGGATTTAATTATACTAAAATGTTGAAGCATATACCTCCCGGATAGGAGGTTCCGCCAGCACTCGCGCTCCCCGCGGCGCTCCCCAGGCCGCGCGCGACGCCCATACCACGTCTACAACGTGGAGGCTCCCCCCACACCCTTCCAGCCAGGCAATGGCACACACAATGACAATAAAGATGAATATGATGATATTGAGTACGTCTTATAATGTCTACAGTAGGTAGTCAAAAAGTAGGTAGTATAAATGTTTTCAGATATATTGGTGGTTCTTAACTTCGCGCAAGTCGCTGCGCAGAACACGAATTTAGGTGTAGTTGGATGCAGAGTGAGGGCTTTGTGCAGCGCGTTTAAGACTTTGGACCGCCAAGATATTTGAAAGGAGTAATACTAATGTATATTTTTGATGTATATTCGTATCTTGAAAGTATATTAGGTATGTTCTGTCAACAAGTTCGGTGGTCGATTGTTTCGTATGAAAGTTAACTTAAGTTTTTAGTTGAAGTAGAAATCATTAAAAGCTAAAAATAATAAATTACTTAACGACAAAGTATTTCAATAGATTCATAATTCTTATTTACAAGACGTAAAATACAGTTGAGGTGTAGTTCTATATTCATTCTTTCCATTTTGCACGAAAATTTGAAACTATGATATTTATCGTATAGTTCAAGAGCCAGCGATCTGAATATGAAAGTAGGCGAGCCTGTGAACGCAACCCTGCCTGAAGACGAGCGCATACAGCGGCTGCTGGTGGAGAGCCGATACATCGAGGAGCCCCGCGGGGGCGGAGCTCGCGGCCGCCCGCACCGCCCCATTCCCCGCCAGCCCTGCGTCTGCGACATCTGTGTCAGGTACCATCAGCTCTTCCACTCAGACTCTGGTGATAGCTGATTCATCTTATTTAATACCATATCTAAGTAATGCAAGATAAAAAATGATATTTTTTCCAAATAGAATACTGCAAAAAATATTTTTTTTTTGCCTTGTAATATTTTTTTTTCGTGTTATTTGAAATTGCGAAATATTTTCTTAAAAATCAAGTGCAATAAGTTTCTTATGCCCTCTAAGTTCATATTTTTTCAAAATATTTTTTGCAAAAACTCGTAATAATTTTCTTCGTTATGGCTAAACTGCACAGTTGCAATAAATAAAACTTAAAAAAAATTAAGTTTCGTAAAATGTAAAATAGTTGTAACAAAGACGTGAATTGGAATGCAACCTGAATACATTTTTAAATGAAATATTAACTAGAACAATTTTATTTTAAAACGTGCAATACATAACAGTAAATCTTAACCTTAAAATAATCGTGAAATCAACATTTTTATAATAAGAGGTATTTATAATTTAAAAAATATTTAACATTCCAATATGGAAATATGGTATTTGAAAGGATAAATTTTTTTGTCAATTTTTTTTTGTTATTTTCATTAAATAAAAATGTTAATTGTTGAAAAAAAAAAATAAGTTGTCTATGTTTTTTAGTAGTCAAGTAATTATTTATATCGTTCTTGTCACGTGTAAATATGAGTTTATTAAATAAAATTCACAAAAATAGTTACAATATTTTTTTTATTTCATTATTACGATATTCATCGCACACTAAGGTAACTTACCAATTAATATTTTTTTTTATTATTATGGCTCCACAAATACATTTCATTATTATAATTAAAATAAATATTTTATTGCATTGTATTAAGAATTTATTAACTTTTTTTTTAAATGAGCATTTTCAAAAGGCAGTGCACGTTAATTATTTTTATATAAAATTCGGCACTCAATTATTTACAAAAAATTTTTTTTTTTAAATTTAAACATATTTTTTTACTTTCGACATTAAAATGTTAATTAAACAAAAGAAAAGATATAAGTAAATAAGAGAATAACGAATAATTATTTTAAAATATGAAAATAACTAAAGCACTATTAAATTTAAATATATAACTAAAAGCTACTGTCATATATTTTTCTAGTGTGAACGGAAGACAATATAATAGTCAGCCTTCAATGTCTAATTTATTATTTAAAACTAATATAATCGAGATTTTTTTTTATTTGTACATTATTTTCACTGAAATATCTAAATTAGAGTCATACCGTAATTAGCATGGCAACTAAAAAACTAAAAAAAAGTCTATTGAAAAATTAAACATTAATTTCATTTTAATCTTAAGATTTCGTGACTTATTATTACTTCTTTTACTTTAAAAAATCATCTCATTTATTAATTGAATTATTATTTTACCGTTCTATTTTTTTATTTCATTAAAACTTATTATTTTTTGCGGTTATGTCGGGAAATTTTTTATCTCGACAATATTTTAAAAATCTCTAATTAAAAATTAGTTTATTTAGCACCAAATATGACCATCGATTACTTAATTAACCAAAGTGAGCACCAACTTCTCATAAATATTATTCTCATGTTAAATATAATTCAGAGTCATCTAAACTGAACGTTTTACCGTGGGTTTCTGAGGCTAAAATCTCCGTGTAAAACATATTGTTCTAACGATATGTATTATACAAATATTTTGACCTCAGAAACCCACGGTTATTAACATAACAAATGATACTTTGGAATGAAAGTACAATATGTATTTAAAGAAATACAATTAACTCAAGATTGCACATCCGAAAGACGTGATTTGAATTACTCTGATTTCTTTTTTTTTATTTTATCAAGGGTTACTTTGGAAACCTACGTCAAAACTTACGAGATTTCTAATTTAAAATAACCACTCGAATAGTTATCACGAACTCTCCAAAACACATTAACACGTATCATGTAACTAAGATTTTTTTTCAACTTGCCAAGCCAGTCTACAGCAATTAACGTGTTAAGGAGTGTTCACAGTAACTTTGTGACCCTTAAGCGACTTTCTCTCTTTACTCTTAACGTATTTCGTACAGTCTAATACAAAAGCTAATACACCGATTATAGCAAACACAGCATAGAACAAAGCCATTGCTATCAAAAAGCTTTGTTCATTCCATTCCCATATGTTGTCAGATCTTAGGTACTCGTAATTAGCCAGCACTTGCGTTCCATTAGGAGGTGGGCACGGTACAATTATATCTTGATATGGTCTCTAGAAATTGGAAATAAAGTTATAATCATTAAATTCGTAGTGTAAGCTTACCATTCCAAACATTCGCCTTTATATTATAAAGGCGAATGTTTGGATGGATGGATGTTTGTTAGAAAGTATCTGCAAGTAAAAACAGCTGCATGGATCTCGCAGAAATTTGGCATAGATGTAAAATATATCATGGAGGGACATAGGCTTCATTCTTAATTCGCGGGTGACAGCTAGTTCAGTATACAAGACCGAAGTTGGCTTAATAGCAGTAGTCATCTCACTGGCATTTGAAACTATGTTTATACTGTGACAGTAATGACCCTGTGCGCACGCGCAAGTCGTTGTACGAATATGTCATCAAAGTCTTTTGTGATACTTAAAAAAATCAACATGTAACAAACCTGCTTATTAGTGCACCTAATATCTTTACTGATGCTACTTCTGAGTGCAGTTTCGCTGAGTTCACGCTGCAATATCTCAGGTAGAACCCATCTGGAAGGCGATACGTATTCCAGCCATCGGACGTATGACGGCAAGTCGTCTTGGTGTAACATCACGCCGTTCACCAGGATAGTCAGCAGGAGTACAAATCCTGATAGGACAGATGCGGTCTTCTCCATTGGCACTAGAAACACCATCGCTCGGCAAAGCATCTGTATGCTGATGAGGTATAGAAGCATGTAACCTGTGAAATTAATATTGTGTTCAGTTACGCTTATTATCCCGCCACTGCTCTGTCGCTAGAGTTTCGTCTTCATAAGATGCGTGCAGATGAGGTTGACATTTGGGTCAGAGCTCTTTGTACCGTTTTGTTCTTAGCCCATGGTGATACATACCTAAATAAATATAGAAGCCGTCATAGGATCCCGGCGCCTGCGTGTAGAGGCCGCTCATAGCGTAGCTCGGCACCAGGTACGCCAGCCACGTCAGGAACGCAGACCAAAGCTCCAGAAATTGCTGTAACGAATAACATTTCAACTAGTATACTTAAAATTGAAATGCTAATCGATTTTTTTACGATTCTGTCATAAATTATAATGTGCTATTTGATTTCCATGTCCATAACAAACGTCGTTGCATACATCAAACAAGATGAACATAGTCCTGGAGTAGAGTCCTACGGCGACGTCTCTCTCGACGTGGGGGCGAAGGGTGCAGGCGTCGCGCGCGCTCAGCCACAGCAGCAGCGGCCAAACGCATACGCACATCACGCTGTAGTGGAACCCGATGCGGTCGTTCTGACTCAACTGCAATTATACAAATATCTCTAGAACTTCCCGCTATATTTAATAAAGTAGCTCTTGACTATAAGGCTAGTTAGTAACAGAGTCATCGAAAGAGACTATTATGAGCCTTTTCGCTAGTCTAATATTGGCCTATTTATTGTTAGTAATGTTTACCTTAGCGTCAGTTGACGGGAGGTCCCAGAAGATGGTACCGGTGACGAGTGACATGACCGCTGCCAGTAGTATCCGTGTTATCACGTTAGATAAAGTAGTCATTTGGGTGTACAGTAAACTTTTCCTAAAAAAACATGATTTGAATCATAAACAAGTATTTGATCAATATTGTATCAAAGAAGATATACAGATTACACTCAATTAGTCTTTATTAACAAGACATTGTCGGGACCAAATGTGGAATAAATACTCACTCGATAAGAGCAAAAGTTTGCATAATAAAGTTGGGTCTGTTGAGCGGTGCGGGCAGGGGCACTGGGGGCGGCGGGTCCGGCGCGGACTGCGTGCTCGCGAACACGCCCGCCAGCGCCTCGATACGCCCCGATGACTCCAGCATGGCCGCCGCGGACAGGTCGTCCAGCGTCACCAGATCCACTAAAACGCAGAGGAAAAATGAGTAACAATACGAACAGTTTCTGAACAATCAATTTAACGTCAGATTAACTTTTGAAAAACATTATTATTTTGGGTAAATACAGTGCCCCCCGTCTTAAAATTGAATGAATTAACAATAGTTTTGAATAACTTACAATAATAATCAGATGGATTCTTGAAAGCGGGGCAAGGATAATCGATGGAAGCAAAATATGGCAACATGTCTCTCCTGTATCCGCTGAACATCGTCCTGCCCGCGGATATTAATACGACCTGAAATAATTCTCATAATTATAACACCGACATGTATTTTTTTTATTTTAATTCAAGAGAAAATTAAATGGTTACCTTTGTAAGCATAGCAAATATTTCATATGTCGGTGGGTGGAGGGACATAATGACGACGCGTCCGTCCATGGCCCAGTTCCTGAGGTACTCCACCAGGAAGAAGGTGTCGAAGATGTCCATCTCCCTGGTGGGCTGGTCCAAGATGAGCACCGCCATGTCCAGCAGCAGCTGACACGCCACGTTCAGTCTCCGGATCTCGGATCGAGTCAGTCGACTCACGTTCGTGTCTCGAACTTGGTCGAGTCCTAACTCTTCTATTAGAATGTTTATCTACAATCAACAAGTTACATTGTCTGAATTCCCTTAAACCCTTAATAATCTACAGGTGATTTCTCAAAAGTTCATCATCAATTTCTTCTGATAAGATCTTATTAAGAAGATAAACTTACTCTATCCTTATCATCCATTTTGACTTGGCTGTGGTTCTGTCTGGGCCTCCTCAGAGCCGCGTGGAATCGCAGCGTGTGCTCGACAGTCATGGAAGGGCAGAGTGAGGTGTCTTTGCGCACGTAAGCCGCCAGCTTGCGAAGTGTCGAAGACGCTACCGCCTGCCCATTCAGTACTATATCTCCTGATAGTTTCTGATGAAACAAAATAAAACTTTAAATTAAAAAAAATCGGATGACGCAACAAAGAGCCTGCACGTTCAATTTAACTATGGCTTAAAATGTACCTTCTTTTAAAATATGAAAATGTTAGGAAGACTGGTGACGTCACCATCAACAATGACTAATTGATGGAACCGCTAACCTTTCTTACACCAGCGAGCACATCCAGCAGGCCCGTGGCTTCATGCTGCGAGGTGGCCAGTACCGCCAAGATATCGCCGGACTTCACCTCGAAGCTTAAACCCGATACGAGAAGAGTTGATTTGTTCTCCGGTGATGTTATTTCTAAATTGCTAACCTGTATAAAACATGATTGGTCTATTAAGTAATACTCATTATTCAAAGAATTCTGTGGCGTAAGATGTTATTCTATAAGATGAAATCTTTGGCAGTTTGATAATTTTTAAGTTCATCTAGGTGAAACTCACGTAATAATTAGGGTAAATGTACGCTGAGTGCGTGTAGCCGTCAAGCTGGTCCCCGGGCCGTAGAGTCGAGTGCTTCCTGGACTGCGCCAGGGAGATGTGACTGCCCGCTTTCGACATGCGCCCGCCCAAGTGCGAGGAGGGCATTAAGTAACTGAACACAAAGTAAGTACAGTTCATTGGCAGATCAGGTTGTTAT